GATTTTATTTTTATAGAAAAACTGAAATATGGAAAATTATTAAGTAAATATGATATGATATCTATAACAAAATACAGATGGTATGTTAGCCATCCATATTGGTGTCTCTATGGTAACAAAGAGGAAGAGATCAATGTGATACACAAGTTTTTCTGGAAGGGAAACTAGTGCTGTGTATTTTAATTTTATTCCCAGAATTGGTTTTGTATAACAATTTTTTCCCCTTTGTGAAAGTAAAAAAAAAGTAGTATAGTGTTGATTTTAGTCGCACCATAAATTTTGAAAAAAAAAATACTAACATACTTTTGCTGCATTTTTAATAGAAGCTTTCTGATTGGATGATTAGTCACAGCATATATTTTCAGAGCCAATTAAAAAAAATATAACATCCTTGTGTGAGATCAGCAGCTGAATGCAGTGCAATTTTTGCAGCAGATGTGTCTAATGTCCTGCTGCAATATGTGCCCTGGCCGAGAAATTATCCTAGGTCAGGTGTCGGAAATTGGCAGGCTGACACTGTATTTAGTGTATTTAACTTCTACATATGTACTTTATAAAGAAACAGATGCCTCAGTCCACACAACTCTTCCTTGCACCTGTTTAGGAAAACTTTCCTCTGCACGAGCATCTGTGCCGCACTGAGCACCCAGGTGCAGGCTGTCACATGACCAGATTTCTTCACTTGTAAGTGAGGCAAAGTCTTGATGGCGGTGTATGTTGTGGTGTTGCGAAGTGGGATTTTATCGCCATGAGACTTGGTGCACCTGTTGTCTACTTGTTCTCTTTGTTGATAATGTATTCCTTGTTTATTTTAGCCACCCTGATTAGATACAACATATTTTAAACTATAAAAAAAAAGACTAGGTTGTTTTCTCCATTCAATGTACCAATTCAGTATCGGTAATTTGTTTTCAAATTCTACAAATTATTTATGTTCACATATGTGTGAGAGAAAAAGGAATCTAAATATTCAATAAATAGTATTCTATTTTTTTGAAATTTATTATGCTTTAAACCTATATAATAAAAACACTATTTAATTCAGCACACAGTTCAAATACTATTTTTTGTTTGATATGATCCTGATTAAAATAATATGACTGAAATTAAAAACAATTTATATTTTTGGAAATTATTTAAGCCAAACATTTATTTTTATAATACAAAAGAAGATTAGTATGCAAGTTTGAAGGACAGCTAGCCAATATGGTTTAATACAATTCCATGTTGGTGTGTTTGGCTTTTAATTTGAGGCCATATTGTATGACATGACAATACCCCATATTTGAGTTATATTGCTTTTATTTAATACATAGTTTCTCTAATAATAGTTTTTGCTCTATGGCTCTCAATGGTCACACCAGATGTAAAAATGTCAGTGTTGATATTTTGACTGATCTCATTTCTTACCTGCGTATAAAGTATTTTAATGTCTGATACTACGAGAGATTATATAGCAGTGTTCGATACGATTGAATCTATGATACCAAACTTTAAAAAAATATATATAGAAATTTGCCTCCCACATTTTGCTGTCTTTCCACCAATCATACGTAGCGTTACAAACATCCATCTGTCTTTCCACCAATCATACACAGCGTTACAAACATCCATCAAATTATTTCAGAACATTACAAAAGTTGCCATCTAGAAGTAAGACTGTGAAAAAAAGAAAGAATCATTCTAAAATGGAAATACTGGTTCAATAAAAAAAAATTCATCAGATGTCAAAATAATTGTGTTTTATGCATTAAGTCTGATTTATGCCTGAAAGTCAGATGATAAATCAAACAACAATTATTGCACATACCTTTCAAGCACTCTCTAGTAAAATATTATAAAAATGTCAATCTACTCCACTTTTTTGAAATAAAAAATAAAAAATGAATGATCATTTTTTATGAAATATTTGTTCAGCAGTGCTTCGACAATAATTGTACAATGACAAAGTAGTCCTAAATGGGGTTTTCGTACCATTTCTAGTCTGCTTGGCCGTTTTTCTCATCTATGTCAATTATTCAAATTTGAAATGTGAAATTTCTTTCTTGAATGAAAGTTGACTCCGTTTTAGTGGTTCTATTGGTTTTTTTCCCCACTTTTGACGAGAGCTTGTGGTAGAGCAAAATTAAATCATTCTGAATCCTGTGACTAAGAACACTTTCTGGTCATTTCTGGCGGCAACATTATATCAAGGGATATTATTTACTGCCATTTTGCTATTTCTCACTTCTCCACAATGGACATTGACAAATTTCTGAATTGAGAAATATTTTGAGTAAATTTGGAGCATGAAGAGTATCGTAACTTCATCACTACCAGTAATCTAAGAAGAATAACGTTTTGTTCAGAATCAAGTTTGTTATAAATACACTTTTAATCAGACTTTTTAAGTTTTTTGCTTCTGAAAGAGTAACACTATATTCACTTTTTGTAAACTCAACTTTGCAGGTGTGACTTACCATTTAACTCTATGAACACCATTGTCAACTTTTGCCACCATCTACAAATAATTTTCTATAGTCTGCTCTTCCTCATATGAAATGTACATAAAAATTTACGAACCTTTTGATCAAAAACTAAAAAGAATATCTGAACTTGTTAGTATGGTCAAAAATAATGTGAATTTTAGTGAAAATTTTACAAATTGTGAAAATATTTACACTAAATTTTGGGCTGAAAAAATATGTGTCACTCAAAGGGTATATTATATACCAAGAATGTAGAATATGACTGCGTGGGCGTCTCTGCTGAAAATGATCTATTTTAGGTAAATTTTTTGGGCGAAACGCTCTCATGGTATTTATTTGTTGTGGAAAATTATCGGCTAAAAGTGCTATTCAGAAAAAGTGTCTGAAATAACTAACATTTTTGAATTCAAAATGGCTGCTCGGAAAGAACTGCAATATACCCGGTATTGCCACGACATGCTATCCATCAAAGTATTGTACAAAAAAAAGTTACTGTTGCTATGATCGAACCAATTACAACTTTTCGAAAAGCAACAACAAATTGACAGGTCACATGGTGTAACTTACGATTTGGCGAAAAAGGAATGAGTTCTTTCGTCGTTTTTGATCACGACAAATTTTACTCTTGATTGACTCGTCTTGAATAATTTTCAGAATTTAATTGGCAAGTCATTCTCTCCAGATAGCAGGTGCTTTTTTAATCTCTTTTCAATCTTTTGAAGTTTGCGAATAAATGCAGAAAATGCCTATATCTGCACTAATTGAAAAACAGGGGAAAAAACATCCCAAAATAAATATGTGTGAAAATAATATGACAAAAATGTTTTTTTTCTCCCACGACTTCCCAATCAATCATAATAATGAATTGTGAAAAATATTTTCCTTTAACCTCCCATAAATCTGGATCCAATGTTTATAATATTTTTATTGGAAAGGAAAAAAATAGAAAGAACCATTACTTCCTCATAATAAATTTAGTTTTTTAATATTTTTTTTAATTACAGAAGGACATTAAATATTACTAAACTTAAATATCATCCCCGAATACTATAAAAAAGGGGAAAGGAAAAAAATGAAACAACAACATATATATTAAAATAAAAAGAAAGCAGAAAAAATTGCTTTAAAAAACAACTTAAAACAGCACTAGAAATTTATTGGTACATCTACCAGATGGTCAGATGTGTCAGTGGAACAGTATTATTCAACAGGTTTGGGGATGACCCTTCCCCTCTTTCTGATTGCAATATTATCATACAAAATTAGCAATTAACAACTAATAGTAAACCTGTGAAACATTCTCATTTCTGTGTGAGTAGGCGGACCCTAACACTTGTCATTAACTAAGGATTTATAGCATTTTCATTATACAACATTTTGGGAGATTGAGAATAAATCCACTTTTTAAATTAAGTTTGGGACTATTAATTAGATTAGGGATGTCAATTTATGACTGCGACAGGAGTAGTTTCCATGTCGTACCTCAATCAGCAACATTGTCTGTTGTCTAAAAGTCTACATCATTTTCTAATCAGCATTGTTGGTGTTAAATTTTATTGTACCGTTTAGTTTGAAAGACGAGTAAAAAGTTAAACGTTGCTGTTTTTATCACGATCTCTGCTTCTATCGGCCGTACAATCTATTCATGCACTACATGTGAAATTATTGAATTTTTAAACAATATGTATGACCTGTAAAATACTTGTCATAGAATGTCAGAATTTGTTCAAACAGAAAATAATTTACTTAGTGAGGTATATTGTAGAAATGCATTGCTTTATGTTTTCTTTGTTCTTATGTCACCACCATCCTATGTCCCGCACATAATGAGTGACAAGTTGTATTCAAATGTAAATGTTATACAGAACTATCTGAGCGCAATGTTTTCTATTATATCCTCTCAATTGAGGTATTTGAAAAGGTCTAACAGTGAGTATGTTGAACAGCGCCCTCTGGAGGTGAAGAATGCCTGGTTTTCCGAGGATAGGGCCTTGTCTTTTTAAACATTGTACAACAAGAAAATAGGAAGGTTCAATCATTTCCCACATTCAATATGAAAAAATATATTTTTAGGGTTTCAGTTTCAATGTTCAACCAAAGTAGACTTTCTTCCTGGCCTCGGTGTTACGCAAAAGCCTTTAGTTAATAAGACAAGACAACAATGGTACTGTTTTGTGGTAGATGTACAAGATAGTTTAAAACTTATGTTTGAGTATTTATGATTTACTGTGTGTAAGTGTCTGTGTGGATGGATGGATGGATGGGTGGGTGGGTGGGTTTTGTGGATGGATGGATGGATGGGTGGATGGATGGATTTTAACAAATCTACACTACTGTTTTAACAGGAGTCTGAAATGACTAATGCTGCCTAGACCATTGTCCAGTCCATATCACATGGTCATGTACAGTTTTTGCCTAGTTCACATCACATAGTCATCTAGTTTTTGCCCAGTCCATATCATATTGTCATGTGAAATTGCTGCCCAGTCTATGATTCTTATATTTTTTTTTTTTTTTTTTCATTTATTGCAGGTAAACCCATAGACAGTAGTAAACCTTACCAGATGCCTTATACCATGCCCAATAGGGAAATGCCGCCAAGTCAGGTGAGTGTCGAGCTACTTAAATTGTAAACAGCAAAAAGAATACTATGTCCTGCATATGCATCTATGAGTACTGACTCTTATTTTGCCCTCCGAGACCATGTCTCATTTAACTTTTGAGTGCCACATTTTCCCCCTTTCAAAGTTTGATGCAATATTTTGCCATTTTTATGTATTTTTCAAATTTTTGGATAATTTTGAAGCAAATGGACATATGTTTCTATTGTGATTAAATTGCCATTGTGAATTGTGTCAAAAGGTGACTTTGACAGAGGAGGATTGAGGAAAGAGTGCACTATAATTATGTTTATGTCATGATGATTTAAAAACAACAATTAATATCTGGTTCTCAGTTTGTGTGTGTTAAAGTCCCATGATGCATCACAATTCTACTTCCTGTTTTGAAAAGATTGATGACATCATCCGTATCTATGTCATCACTTTCCTTTTCTATTATTAATCCTCTATTGTTCACATATAAGAGGACAAACCACTGAAGTGACAAGGTCAACTATGTTAGTTACTTATTATATTACTAACTTTTTAACTAAATTTGTCTTTAAAACTAGTTTGGTGTGCATTAAAAATTTCAAATGAGAATCTAAAAATAGTATTTTTTAAATTTCCTTTCATGAAAAATCATGAAAAAATAGAAAAACAGCATTTTCTTCAACCTGTTTTTCCTGCCAACATTTTGGCATAAAGTATTGCGCATTTTAAAAATGTTTTTCTACAAATTCCTTGTTAATTTTGGAGCAAGTCCATGTAATTTATCACTGGATATAGATTTTGATCAAAATGTTGATAGAAAAGGAAAAAATATTATGCAGGTTCATTTTGTGAAACGTTATAAAACTTGACTTTGGCATTTTAAAATAAATATGAAAAAAGGATGATTCAGTTGTGTCTTGGTGAGTTTTCAAGATGCTGCAAATAAATCTCATTTTATTCAGCCTTCTGCCAGTTTTGTGGCTGACTTCAGCATTATATTTGTTTATAAAAATCAGTCAACACAGCACCTGTGTGAACAACATTGTATGTGGTAATGTTGAAGATTATGTGGGAATAGCAACAATAAATTGTTGATATGTGGAATTTTGCACTTCAGAATCTGCATATGATGTTTAAATTCAAATACTATGTTAAATCGTAAAATTTTCACCATGACAATTTATGATGTGGTGGTTTAGGAGAGTACACACAAGTAGAAATAAAATTTAAAATACTAGACCCAAGTGGAATACACAACTTTAGGTACAGGGAGCAAAGTAAGCTCTGGCAAGTGAAGCTAGAAGCCTGGGGGAAATTCTAGGAGCAGCAGTATCTTGAGCTTCCCTTATTTTGACCACCAACCTAGGGATGAAATTTTGTAGATATCACAGAGATTCTCGTGTTCTAAGTATCCCACTAAAATGTTTACTGCTACAAAATGTTTTGTTTTCCTCTTGCCTCGCGGGAATTGGTCTCTCAGTGTTGTTTATAGAGTGTCGGAACCTGTATATTTCCATGCTATCTTAATATAATTGTACACAGGACTTCAAAACTTCACTCTGATATTAAAATTGACTTTCATATAATAAATGCTATTCTAGTACTTGATTGCCGTACTCGTCGTTAGTTTAACACAAAGTGTCTCGGCAGTGCTCGTTATTATCACTTCCTAAACTACAGGGAATTAAGATAGTCACATAACCAATGTTAGAAGTTGCCTGAATTACTTCGTTTCCACCATACTGTCTCTTTCCAATTACCGATGTCAGCATGTGTGTTGGTAGCTGTCTCACAACTCCCTCTGGGTACAAATAATACAAGACGAAGTCCCAGAAGTCTTTTAGTTTCTGTCACTCGACCGTCAATTCCATTTTCTCTAAGTATTATATTCGACACTGATGTGTGGATATAGCGTTCTTTCACTCACCCTTTAATAATGACGCTAGTGCAATTCTAAAAAGTGAAACAACATAAAAAGATAATATTCTTGCACTTCAATGAACACATTTTATAAAAATTTCCATTTTCTTTGCTGATGAAAAAAGGGGAGTGATTTGGTCCCCATGACAACCAGATTGATAAGATCAAGCATCTAAATGAGCCCCATAAATTGAATTTCAGATTTTTTCCGATTTTTCACGAGCTTAATTCTTTCTCAATTTGTGAATAATTTTGGATGACAAAAGGGAGTAAATTAGTATATGATTTCACAAATTACAGTTTTTATCACATTGATGAAAAAGTAATCGTAAAGATGTTTTGATGAAATGAGGTCATGCAGGGAGGTTACGTAGGTGTCAATTAATGGTTCTGTTTAAGTGAAACCATTTTTGCACAATTGTAATAAGCAGAACAAAGAAGACACACAGACAGATGGTAAAAATTCTTTCTATTTAGCTGATCTGGAAGTAGAAATTTCTCTAATTTATTTTGAATTTTTTCTGAGAATAGTTATCTTCAGCTATTTTAACTGGTCCAGTCTATTGTTGAAGGTTGGAATATCAAAAAAACACTCTTTTCATTTTTTCCCGCCAAAATTTATTTACAGATAATTTTCTTTGAAGTCAGTTTAGATTTGCTTACAAGTGTACTATTGCCAACATTACTGATAGGGGATTTTGAATAAAATTTTGAAAAAATATTTCGCGAACAATAACGTTTATTTTGAGCGACGTCACTAAGCATCATAACGTGGGAATTAATTATTTATCACGATATTTGGCTCAGACAAATAAATGTGAGAACTGAAACAAAAATAGAATGTATTTATAGCTGTGATGTTGAAACAATTTCGCAAAGAGTTTATTTATTAACGATTCACAACAAATCACTGTAAAGTCATCGCTTACAGTAATATAATTAAAGTTGAAAATGTCTTTATCTTATTTCATGCGCTGTAGCAATTTTTTATTTTCAGTCTCACTATTATCTTTTTTTATTGACATTGAAGAAAAAATGTACTACAGAATTTTTTGGTACTATTTATTCTAGTACACACTTCAAAACAACACCACTATGTGAGTGATATATAGCAACATTTTTTTAGCATAGTTTAAATTTTGCAGTTATGAAATACAATGAAACTGCCCTTTTCATGCCTTAACGAGTCCCATTTGTGTCTTTCACAAAGTGTTTTACCGGTAATCCAACATGGCTGCCAAATATTACTACTGCCCTCTATAGGCTATAGAAACTGTCCACTGGATATACTACCAAAATTAAACATTAAATACTTAAATTTGTGTCATAACATTTATTTAATTCACTATTGTGTTTGTTGTAATTTGAAATACACTAAGTGATACCGAACAACTTCTAAAGATTGTATTTCTAATACCAGGAATCTCTGGTTCTTTAGAAGACTAATCCTGCTTGTAAAACAGTGGACGTGTTTGAGAAACAATGTTCGAAGCAAGAAAGACATTTACGCTTACAAAGGATTGTGTTACTGCAATATTAATCGCATTTGCAATGTATGTTGGGGAAGTTTAGTTACCATGGTGACCCAGTAGGGCATGAGCTGTTTTCGGCTTCTAGCAACTACAAGTTAACTGGTTGAGAAAACGACTACTTGTTGCCTTCTATTAATAGCTGTAGCTCTCGTGCTGGTGTGTTGGTCAATTGAGGAAAGCTTTGGCTGTTGAGTTTTATTTTGAAGAGAAGTAACTAATGTTCGATCAGCATAAAAAAAAAAAAAAGATTTGTTTCTGGTCATGAAATGATGCATTTGAATTTTTTTTTTTTTATATAAATAATTTTTTTCCCTTCTGTTTTGCAATTGCAAAAAACTATAAAAATTGGTTGTTAGTGGTCCTTTTTAAGTACATATAGTTGTGCTCACTGACTAGGATCAACTTTTTTATGGCCTCAACAATTTGTTTTTAGTTGAAAAATTAATAAAAACTAGGGAGAATTTGAAGGAAAGTGAAAAGCATGCAGCAAAAATGAATGAAAGTTTATATTAAACTAAACTAAATTTACTAGACTCAATCTCCTTTCGTATTGCCTATTTTATGACAATACATTTAGTGCTTTTACCGAAGTCTAGACAGTAAAATTGAAAACTGATTTGGATCATTGGATTTACTACCAAGTAAATCAAAGTAAAATAGGCAATGTAAAAATGCTGTAAACCATTTGAGTTATCATTTAAAAAATGGGGAATCCGATAATCTATTGGAGCATAGCAAATCTCAGCACACTAAAAAAAAGAAGTAACGGTACTCTTAACAAAGTTCCAATCTTCATATTACATATTTTTTTTATTCAGAATTTAAATTCATATTTGTCTTATACTGGAAACTAAAATGAGATCAGTAATCAGAAAGATTGAGAGAAAAAAAAATTGCTTGACAATAATTATTCAAAAAATTTCATTTGTCACGTTTTGTTGAGGTGATTCGAAGTCAGAAGTGTTCTCAGTGAACAAGTGGAAACCCATTTCCTGATATTATTGACACTACTTTATGTTTTATATTCATGAATACTTTATCTTAATTTATGTTTTTTTGTCTTTAATGCTTACAAATTTAGTAGAATCACTGTATGATGAAACTCAGTCATATACTGTCAAATACTTTATTTTAGCTGGAATTAATTTTTGCTGAAAAGACTTTTTAGATGTTTTGTATGCAATTTATTTTCACTGATTTTTGACAAGTTGAATGTAAAATACATGAAAACGGGTATATTCGCTGGATTTTATTTTCACGGAATTATTTCTTCAGCAAAAATTAATTCCAACCGAAAATAAAGTATTTTACAGTTGATAAAGTATTTAATTTTTTTCTGTATAAGCAACGATTCAAAATATGTGAATTATTAAACTCATAAATTATTGAAAATAAAATTAATTGAAAGTGTGATCCCCTAGGTATGTATTTATATATAGTCAGGATAGAGTAGTGGTTGCCCGGTCACATATCTTGTTGTAATACATTTTTTTTTGTTTACAAAGAGCATAGTGCTTTTAAAAACAACGACATAGTAATAGGAGAATGGAAGATGGAGTG